CAGATCAAGATTCACTGATTATGACAGGGATTGCATCATACCATCAGACGTAGAGACACGCCATTTTCTCATGTGAATCTCGTTCCTGTATTTCACCATCCGTTGATTTGACATTTATAATTCACCATTTGCGTATCCTGTCTACCCGCCGTCTCCAAGCGTGTCATACCCAATGTCATCTTTGCTCGAAAGTTCTCCGACTGATGGCTCGGATACCAGTCTTTGAAAAGATAACCAATTTCCAGTAACCGACAACTATATTTAATATTAGCACGTTCTTGTAATTATAGAATAAACATATGACTTGCCGATATTTCTGAATATATTTGTGTACGTGTCATTTATCGTGTTTCTTTTTACTCGAACATAATAGCGCAAACTGGCGATAACAATTTGAAAAGTCGGAATAAACGTTGCCCACTTAGCACTATAGTGATCCGATACCATGTATATCTCCGGTACGAGGAAACAAAAACGATTGAAATTCCTGTCGTGGCGATCCGATAAGATTCACGCCATTATTGTGACATAACTAGCGCAATTAACATATGTCGGTCACAAAAGGGGTATATAAACCTGCGGCGAGTTCAATGAAACAAAAGCGTTTTATTAAGTATTAACTACGTTATAAGTAGTGTGTATGTCATTAACGCGCGGCCTGGTTGATCTTTAATGTCGGCAGGTTTTGCGTTACCCCTTTACTCGATTACGTCATTTTCCAATGGCCTTATCCTTTGTTGGACAGTGCATATGGTATATGTATGTGCGCGTTATGGCGGATGATTGTGTACGATAACACTTCTGACTTAGGAATTTGAAAACATATCTTGAAATATGTAAATAATTAATTCGTCATCACAAACATATATACTTTACGTTAAAACTTAATTTATTGCATCATATAAAACATTATAAATACATACTGGAGTCTTTGAAGAATATTTTACTGATACATTTTACTTGCATATTTCGACAGTGTAGCAAAGATGCGGTTGACTGGCCAGAGCCGCACTGCCGTAAAACGGCGGCAGATATCTGTTGTAGTTGAACATTCGATATGCCTCAACAACTGGCGGTTTCGGGAAATTAATGTTGGATTTAAAAGGTGAATCACCTATCGCCGACGAACGTGATGAAGAACTGGTTGGTGGCTTAATATCTGTGATACAACTCGACGAGATGACTGTTGTTGTTGGCGGTAAACGAGTAGCTGACGGTGATGATTTATTGCTCTGTTTCGAAGAGGTTTTCTTGCTGTTCTTGGTCAACATGACATGGGTTACACCCTTTGCAGCAGTTGGTCTATTGTTCTTTTCCTTTCTAAGTCGCGCTCTTCTGTTTTGAAACCACACCTGTAAAACAATAATAATATCAATAACACAAAAGTAGTAAATTAGGAACCTGTTCATACACAAATATGTTAGAATATTTAAAGAGTATCATTCATATTCATATACAAAGTTTCCTAAACTGTACGTTGGATGGTATACTACGTTATAAGTAGTGTGTATGTCATTAACGCGCGGCCTGTTTGATCTTTAATGTCGGCAGGTTTTGCGTTACCCCTTTACTCGATTACGTCATTTTCCAATGGCCTTATCCTTTGTTGGACAGTGCATATGATATATGTATATGCGCGTTATGGCGGATGATTGTGTACGATAACACTTCTGGCTTAGGAATTTGAAAACATATCTTGAAATATGTAAATAATTAATTCGTCATCACAAACACATATACTTTACATTAAAACTTAATTTATTGCATCATATAAAACATTATAAATACATACTGGAGTCTTTGAAGAATATTTTACTGATACATTTTACTTGCATATTTCGACAGTATAGCAAAGATGCGGTTGACTGGCCAGAGCCGCACTGCCGTAAAACGGCGGCAGATATCTGTTGTAGTTGAACATTCGATATGCCTCAACAACTGGCGGTTTCGGGAAATTAATGTTGGATTTAAAAGGTGAATCACCTATCGCCGACGAACGTGATGAAGAACTGGTTGGTGGCTTAATATCTGTGATACAACTCGGCGAGATAACTGTTGTTGTTGGCGGTAAACGAGTAGCTGACGGTGATGATTTATTGCTCTCTTTCGACGAGGTTTTCTTGCTGTTCTTGGTCAACATGACATGGGTTACACCCTTTGCAGCAGTTGGTCTATTGTTCTTTTCCTTTCTAAGTCGCGCTCTTCTGTTTTGAAACCACACCTGTAAAACAATAATAATATCAATAACACGAAAGTAGTAAATTAGGAACCTGTTCATGCACAAATATGTTAGAATATTTAAAGAGTATCATTCATATTCATATACAAAGTTTCCTAAACTGTACGTTGGATGGTGAAGTCAAGTATATAACCAAACACATTACATATTAACTAAACTTCAAGCTGTCAAAAATTCGGATGAAATTCCACATATTGGACATTATTAAATCCATTTATATAAATATATTCCTACCTGTACTCTAGCTTCTTGTATGCCGATGATGTCAGCCAATGCTTCTCTTTCATTTATATCGGGATACTTATTCACAGCAAACACGCATTCCAAGGCTTCGACTTGAGATTCTGTATATGAGGTGCGTCCTCTACGACGCATTTTTCGAGGTTGTATGCATGCGCCAATGCGTGCATCAGTGTATGAGATAACATTCGTACATCCTGGCGTGACGTCAGAAGTTGCTCTACGACCTGGAGGACAACGAATGATCATAAGATAAACATAATATAAACTCAAGCAAATAAATCATATTATACGGACATCTTATTCACAGGGTCTCGCACTCACTTTAAGAGTATAATTATCTACACACACTGGCTGTATATAAATCCAATAACGTACCTGGTGTCTTTGACAATATGCATGCAATGGTATGGTTGGTAAACCTATTTTCGCCATCTACAACGTAAGATGTTGGAATCGATGACATGATGGTAATAATATATAAAATATATTGAGTTGTACGGGATGGATAGGGTGGAG